TACTAGAAAATGTTTCTGTTAGAGGCAGAAAAATATTTCATGATCTGCTTAAGACATTTCTGTAGCTACAAAATTACTTTTTAAAAAATAAATAGAGCGCTCCTCAGGAACCTTAGATTTATTCGCAATTATTTGTGATGGGCTTAGGCCATTGTTACTCTCTGTTTAGTGTGAACTAATCTATAGCAGATGCATAGGAATGATGATGTGTTCCTTCAGTGGGTTTTCCCCTCAGAGATCCAACATTATTCAAAACTACAGCTCAGTGATGTACTAATGGACTAAAAGGATTCATATTATTATTTGCTTGGGTCTCCATTTTCCACTCTCACTCTGCTTTTCTTCCATTAGATGACCCGATTTCCACCTTCAATTATAAGAGGGAGATTAGGTTAAGCATGGCTTCTGCATTATTCCAGGTACTTTAAGCTCCATTCTTTCCACAATGCATCCTAAAACATTCCCACCAGGAAATCTCTCTTAGGTACAACACCTCCCAGCACATCCCAAGGGACTCTGGTGCAGCTCTTCTGGAACCTGCAGCTTTCTAGAGAGCAGGTGCAGATCGACGACCCAGGCAAAGCCCAGCCTAGCAAACTTAATTAAGTGAGGGGCTGCTCCTGGGTGCTTCCCATTCTTTCCACAATGCATCCTAAAACATTCCCACCAGGAAATCTCTCTTAGGTACAACACCTCCCAGCACATCCCAAGGGACTCTGGTGCAGCTCTTCTGGAACCTGCAGCTTTCTAGAGAGCAGGTGCAGATCGACGACCCAGGCAAAGCCCAGCCTAGCAAACTTAATTAAGTGAGGGGCTGCTCCTGGGTGCTTCCCTCTGCCATGTACTCTTTGACTCCTCTTCAGTGAGCAGGGTCGATATTGCCACAATAACTATAAAGATGTATGTATGTCTATTGTGTGCTGTCTTCATTTTCTGTTGGTTTACACTCAGGGGCAGTATAGCTGAATCTTATTGCAGCTCTATTGTTAGTTTTTTTGAGGATCCCACATACTATCTTCCATAACAGCTTTAATAATTTACATCCAAAAATCATTCCATAAATGTTCCTTGGACTAGATGTCTTCAATAGTAGTTTTATTTTGTTTTTTGTTTGTTTTTGAAAATGAAATTCTTACTGATTTCAAGTGAAATCTTAATGTAGTTTCAATTTGCATTTTTCTGAGGACAAACATATATGAGCATTTTTCATATATTGTACTAACCATTTATAATTCCTTTGAGATGATTTGCCAGTTTTGATGGGTTGCTCATTCTTTTGCTAATTTCTTGAGTTTGCTCTGTATTCTGGATATTAATCTTCAGATGAATAGCTAGCAATGTTCTTTGCCTAATTTGTACATTGTGCCTTCACGCTGCGCATTGTACCCTTTTGTTGTGCAGAAAGAACAAAATCTGGTATAATACCATTGATCTAGCCTTGTATTTGCTTTGTGAAATATCTGGGTCCTACTCAGAAAATCGTTGCCTGTGTCAGTTTCTTCAAACCTGATCAGACCAAGTGAGTTCAACTGTCCAAGAAATACTAAATGAGAGAGTCACAATGAGTGAAGGCATGACAATGGAAAGTTGATATCACAGTGACTCTGGAATGGGTCCATGGAATGAGGAATGTGGTAATATCCTGGAAGTCAGGAAATCAGATTCTTTGGAGAACTCCATGGAGCATAACTCTCCTGACTTCTGAATTTAAATTCAGAAAATACATAGGTCCAGAACTTTGAGTTAAACAGTCTGTACTATTTGAAGGCAGCAACAGCTTGTTGGTTCATTAGACCACCAATAAGGCATTCATAGAAGGAGACAGAAAGCCTTTCATGCTGAGTAGGTAGGTGTCTGTCCTCTGATTTCCAAGATAACTTAGTTATTTGGTACTAATTTTAATAAGAGACATGAATTATTTTATGATAAGGAGTGCTAACACCTGAGTTCTTCTTAGGTCAAAAATACTTTGCCTTGTCAATATTCATTAAATTCTGTTATTAAGTTCTTAATCTGTTATTAAGTTCTTAGTGGCAGACACTGAACTTTCACTTGACCCCACCCACCACATCCCATAATCCTCTATAAGAAACAACAGACACCTTTGCCTTTCTGTCTTTGACATCAAAAGAGCAAGAAACTTAGTGAGCACCATTTCCAGACAGACAGCTTGAAGATGCTTCTGGGGTCTCAAATTTTGCCTATGATAAATGAGACTCTTAAGCCCTGCTGCAGCTCTATGACTCAAACAGAAGATGAATTCTGACTTGAAGAGAACACATTAATGGGATTGGTCAGCACCTTGTTTCCATGGAGATGCAAAGTTCTCCCTCACTGCACAAGGAAAGTGGGATTCTATTAGTTAACATGAGCTGTGAAGACTAGAAGGTAGGTTTGCTTAAATACAAAATTATATTTATCGGTAGAGGTAAGTAGTGCTTTTTAGAGTCCACATTGGGAGAGCAGATAGGGAAAGCAAACTATGGAACATATTTTAGAAAGGTATAATGCTGTATGCTCTGAAGTCCATAGAGGAAAGGGACCTCCAGGCAAGGAATGTGAGAAAACTCAAGAAAGAGAAAAGGAACAGATTCATACCTCAAGCATTCAAAGGAATTCACCTGACAACATTTTGAATTTAGCCCATCGAGTCTGAAGTTGGATTTGTTCTACACAACTATAAAGTGTTGAATTTCTCATTTTATGACACTGAGTTAATGGTAAATTATTATAGAAGGAATATCTTTCCTAAACAGTTAGTCATCATATCACAGGGACACAAACCCGTGTTTTTATCAGCACAGTTCATAATAGCTAAATCTAGGAAGTAGGTTATATGTGTATCAGTAGAGGATTGAATAATAAAATGTGCTATTTTCACACAGGGGAATACACTCTGA